GCCTCATGCGTCAGTCCTAACAATTCCCCTGTTCATAGCATAGACACACACACACGCTGGCCTGCTGTGGTGGTGGTGGTGGGGGGGGGTGTCCACTGGGTTCGCCACAGGACATCCTCTGTCGGTCAGGGTGCCCTGGACCCCTCTGTTCAGGACGCTCTCTTTAAATCTACAACAGCATCAGAGGCAGCTCAGGTCCCAGAGTGAACTGTTCCATCCAATTTTGCCGGCTTCTTTACATCTGCGCTGGCGTACAACCAAATCACAGTGACAGATTGGCTCATTTTAGCCAATTAGCCAACAATCAGCTCTAATGAATTGAGAGCAGCACAAGGACTGAGGACCTGACAGCCCTGCGTCTTCCTGGGTGACTGTGTAGCTGAGTGGCTGCCTGAGAGCCGGGTAGGGCACAGCATCTTCCCAATTAAGAAGGACAGTTTGAATGGGGGATTAGGAGAGGGAAGAGAAGCCGAGGGCTACTCATCAACAGCCTGGTTTGATCCGGGTTCGCTCCACAGGTCCCGGCCTTCTCCTCCTCCCGCTCCCAGAGAGCTTCTGCTTTTCGACTTCCCTCCTTCTGTCAGGCAGACCCCCTGTCCCTGGCTAATCCGTCTCTCCCGACGAGCGCCGCGGATCTCCTTCCCCTTCCCAGCTCGTGGCGTTTCCGTGCCCGTTTTTCTTCCCTGTATCCGATGGGCACTCCCATTTCTCCAAACACCCATTACTGGGCCATCCATAGGGCCGGATTTCTTTGAATTCAAGTCCACCATTGACTTCAGTATCTGGGTGACCACTGATGGCCAAGAGCAACCCAGAGCAAGCACCGGGTACGAGGTAGGACACACCCTGGACTGGACACCACTCCATCGCAGGGCAGACAGACACGCACACCCACACCAGGGCCAATTTTCCCAGAAGCCTGTTGACCTACCAGCATGCCTCTGGGCTGCGGGACGAAACCCACGTCAAGCAGTCGGTGAGATCAACGCAGGAGCAGGCCCGTGGCTCTGGCAGGGGCACTGGAGCCAGGCGTGATGCAACACGCGCTCTCACGTGCCAGGATAAATGACTCCTGAACAGAAAAGCCAGATGCGATCTTTTCCCGGAGCTGGGGAAACGGAGATCGCCAATCAGCCGAACAATCGGGCCCGATTGGGATCTTGGGAGCTCATGGGATGCCTGCCTGCCTGTGCCGGCTCTGGGGGTCCCTTCAAGCACAAGAGCACAGGCCGAATGGTGATTATTTAATAAGGGCTCTGACAGGCAAAAAGCTGCTGGATTGCACTGCTGCTTGGAATAACCCAGCGGAATACACTGCCCCCCCTCCCTGCAGGCTGTGATGACACCCCCCCCCACCGCGTACAGACCGGGGTGACAGAACAGTTCCTTCCTGTCTTCAGAGCCCGCAGAGCTGAAATGGAATTGGGGGGAGAGGAAGAGGGTAGAGAGAGGGAGAGAGTCGTGGGGCGGGGGGGTGTTACTCTAAACAGGAAAAGCTGGAGAAGGACTCGGGGGGCTGTCCGGAGTCAGCTGTGCGAGGGGCTCACGAAATGGAGAGACTGAGGCGAGGGAACCTGAAACACAGAGGAGGAAGGAGAGAAGGAGCTGCAAATAGCTCTCCTTGATCCCTGTCTGGAAGCCTCTTCTCTGCACCGAGAGCCTGCTGAGACAAGATGTGCGAGAGAGAGAGAGAGGGAGAGGGAGAGCGAGGGGGAGAGGGAGGGGGGAGGCAGAGCGAGGGGGAATGGCGAAGATTGAGACTTTTCGTTCGTGTCTCTGTTCCGCCCGCCGGCACAGAAAGCAATCTTCTCCTCCTCGCACGGGGTCAGAACGGCGCTGAGCAGGGTGGACAGCGGCACCACCCTGGGGTGACGGCTCCCCCCCCCGATTCCGGCCCTGCGTCTCGAGCGGAGCGCGGAATACCGATCCCGACCCCGCAGCGCTCAGCAGAATGGAAGGCCCGTCCCAGGGGATCCGACTGGAAAGGC